TTTCTTGATCCTCTGCACCGACGTCAACCAAAGTGATTCCTGCTGGTGATTTGTCAGCCGCGTCAGGCTCCTCAGCAGACATCACGTCGACATCAATTGGTGTACTGTCAACACAGAAGGATACGTCTCTCCCCCATCTGTTCCTTGCTTTAAACAGTTCCTTTTTCACGATACTGCTTTCTTGTGTCAAAGAATTATCAAACATGTGGGCGTACTCAGGCCACGCACCCGCATCGTTCTTGTTCTTTCGGGGTCCCTGCTTCCGTGCAGGAGGTTGCTGTCGCTTAGTGGCATTCTTGGACGTACGGCCCAGCAGTGTGGGTCTTTGCTCCTTGGTGTTGTTCTTACTGCTTCTTCTAGTTGCAACCATTGTCCTTTGCTGTTTTATGGCGTGTAAGCGCCACGCTGGTCCTTTTCATATATCTGTACTACTTTTTTGCTGCGTTTCCATCAATTCACACCATTATCTTACGTAGGAATTAGGTACACTTGTACGTGAGAGGGTTGTTTTCGATGAAGACTTATTTGGTTTCGTAGACAAAATATGAGTGGAGTACCAAGTTGAGTGAGTGTAGTACTGAAAATTAAGATCAGTTGAAAAGAAAATAGATCTGAAAAAAGTACTCCAAATTGTGTACTCTACTGAATTTTTGGTTTCGGAGTTGTATTCAGGTTCGGCCTGACTACTAGCATTATCGTGGAAAAAATTGGGCGCTGCCATAGGGATGACGCTGAATACAAATTCAGAATACAGTAATCAAAATTTGAGGGTTGTACTCCGATGAGGTTTAAGAAATAGGACCAAAAATAACTAGTGTTTCTTAGCGCGTGATTTTAGTATTGCTTTAGTAGTCAACCGCGCGTGATTACATGCTAAAATCCAGCAACTGGTCGATTACGAGTAATAGCACAGTTTAGACCCCGTTGTACAATCCCCGCTTCCAAATAATTTGACCCTGTTATGGTGCGTACGGTATGCTTCGTCAAATTCTGACTTGTCTCTGTTAAGACAATAGTATGCGGCACGGAGTGCCATTCACCAAGAACAGAAGCCCGTCCCAACGTTGAGCTGTCAAAGAGAAGAAATTCGAAGTATTTTCAATGTTGATTTTGTCGTGGAACGTTGCTGGACTTTCAACGACGGTGGAGAAAATTGATAAGCAATACGGAGATCGAACAAAACGACGAAATGATCCATCTTCTGTGATCGCGCACTTTTTCCAGCGACATGGGGCGGATATCATTTGCATTCAGGAAGCCAAGATTCCCAAGAGCGTACTAGAAATCCGCAGAGAACCATTGCGTTGCGCCCACATTGCTGGTTATGAAAGTTTTTGGAGCTGTTGTGTCGATTCCACAAAGCGAGGCTTCAACGGAGTTGTCACCTACTGTAGAAAAGGAACCGTAATTTCCGCTGATTCAAAACCTTTGAGTAGCCCTGATTTGGACGATCAGGGTCGATGCGTTATGACAGATCATGGAAGATTTGTTATCTTTAACGTGTACGTGCCAGCAGGGGGTGGGCAGCCTTTAAGCTACAAAATGAAATTCTTGAATGGATTGCGACAGGCAATGAGAAAGCAACGTGAATCTTATAAGAAGGAAGTCATTTTAGTGGGAGATTTGAATATATCTCACAGAGAAAAAGACGTGTTCTGGGGAAGCCGGAAATTGGCGATCAATGACATTTGCAAAGAAGTTCAAGATGAATTACCGGATACGTCTCGACAAAAAGCATCAGAAAAAAGTGCTAAGAAGCGACCCCTTCCCAAGTGGAAATTAGATTTAGCAAGAACTTGGCCCAAAATTGAGGAGGTCCTCAAATCCAAAAAGACTCAAATGGTTATCACCACCAATCCTCGAACGAAAGAAAAATTTGAAAAATTTCGAATGTCGGTAGAAATGGACGGCAAGCAAATATTGTTGGGCGATCACGAGGAAAAACCAGATTATTGCGAATACAACTTCGATTTTGGTTCTCGGCACTACACATGCTCCGAAACTGGCAAGCAAGTCCTTGCTCAAGAAGAGAAAATTATTGCGTTGGCAACTGTCGCAGAACTTTTACTAAAGATTGGAAAAATTGAATGGAATCACAAACTCCAGAGGTCGATTGCGTCAACAGACGGGATATGCTGTCGAGTCTCGCCACCAAGAAGATGGCTGAACGAAGTTATCGACGATGATGGAATGATTGATTGTTTTCGTTTCTACTATCCAAATGCAGAAGGGAGATTTACATGTTGGGACCAGTTCAGGAACAGACGATATGGTAATCAAGGAGCTAGGATCGATTACACGCTCATTGATAAGTCTCTTGTTGGATCTTTGCGTAAAGGGCATGTCAGTTCTCTCCGTTGCGGCAATTGTGGTGGAAGATGTCATCCCGAAAGTGAGGCAGCGGCGTTGTGTGCTGCAACTGCAAATGGTGGCTACCAACCTGTCTCTTTTCATGGTGGTGGAATTGTAGAAGCATCACAGAAAGTATTGAATACGCAATTTGGGACGCCTCATACGGGTCACATTTACACGCCTCCGACTTTCAGCGACCACATCGCTGTCTCAATGCTGTTGGATAATTCTTGTTGCTCATGTCACCTAGAACTTCAGGATCAAGACAAGAAAACAAAAGCGTCACAACCTCATAAAAGAGTAAAAACAATTAACTCTTATTTTGGGCCATCTACTTCGTGCAAGCACGGAGAAACCAAAAAGCAAAACAAAAAGGTGGCATTTTCAAATTTAAAGGTAAGCAATGCAAAAAGGAAAGGTCCTATGGACGCATTTTTTCGATCCCCAAATCCAAAAACAAGTGTTTCAAACAAAAGACACAAGGAATCTCGGTAGTGAGCTGTGATGGGTTGGGAAAGATAGAGATTGACTTTTAGAACATTGTTAATTCCACGCAGAATATGCAAACAGGAATTGTTGGTTCACCAGGAATAAGATATAGATAACTATAAATTGATAGATTGATAAATACTGCAAAATAGTACAGTAGTACCATAATCTGGGGTACAATAGAATGATACAGTAGAATGGTATAATCAAAATCAAATTACTTGCATTGTATCACATAACATGGTCATTACCCAAACAAAAATATCTTTTTGGTCACTTACTGCAGGCAGAAAACTACTGCACAATAGGAGCAACGCTAGTACTACTAGTAGTAGTACCATTATAATAGACATAGTATTTTGTATTTTTGTTCCTTGGTAGTAGTATTAGAAACTTTCATTGGTTATTAGGCCATATGGTAGTACTATTTTCCATCCCCATTGTTTGCAGCAGGTTATTTGTTGTTTGCATTTACCATGTTTAAACATCTATCATTTCAAAAATGAGCCATTTCCATGTAGTAGTACCAATTCTTGCACATGATGGTAAAAGTGGTCCCAAGAAATGGCCAAATACAACCCAATATGACCAAATAGGAAAGTTCTCAGTACATACTACAACAGCAGGAACACAAATAGTCTGATAAAGGATTTGGTCTTGGCTACGATATGCACAAAATCTTATTTTTAAATGACTACTAGGGGGAGTAGAAGAAGAACCCCTTGTTGAAATTGGTAGAATCTCATTTCTCTCAAAAAAATCTTAATATTATATTTAACCTCGTGAACTAGAAGAGGCACTAAGATGGCCAGAACCATAGCTTTTGTTAGAAAGAATGCTCCTAGCTGCTCCGAGGGGTGGCACTTCCCTCCAAGGAGTGTTGATGGAAGTGCGACCAGGGGTTTTTCTGCTGGATTGAAAAGAATTGTTGTAGCTTGGTTTGGAGTAAACTGGAAGAATTGACTGGAGGAGCCAGAGAAGTATCTGGCACGACTGGCTGCTTGTGTCATTTCTTTTTGGAGTATGCGTCAAAGACCAGCAGGGCTTGTGTGACACTCTCCGGAGGTTGTTTACTACTATGTGGCAATGGTGTAAAGTACTGGGTAATTGGGCAGGTGTTGGAGATCAAAGTGCTTGTAGCTTGAGTGACACTTGCCAGGATMGTTTTCTCATAGACTCGATGGTAATATGAGAGCATGGAGGTAGGAGTCTGCAATAAGAAGGCTTCCATATCTGCTGGGAATAGGTGGGCGTGGGAAGGGCATGTCTGAGATTTCAATGCAAATAAGGTTCGAACTTTCTTCACCACTCTCTGTCAATGTTTCGCTTCTTTCTGGGAAAGTGTGTAGCCATGGAGATGTTTGTTTTGCTGTTCCCATAGAGATCCAGCAAATAATGATCCAGGAGACAAAGTGACATACTATGAGATGTTCACAAAGAAAGAAGTTCTAATGGAAGGCAGACTGACTGAGGATTATTTATTCTACAAGCATGTACGTGGAAAATATAATGCTACAGGTAAGCAGATAATGGATTGATTGCTCAAAGTATGGGCAAGACACCTTAAGAATACCAAGACTGGTGGTGGTGCCCCCCTGGACACAAATACAAACAAAAGGAGCTTGCATGGGAGAAGAGTAAAAGAGCACAGCTTGAAAAGGTTGACAAACAATTCTCCTGTGTTTCCTCTGCTGGTTGTCTATTTCATGACAGCCAGAAACAAGGAGCAAGAAAAACACATATTTGGTGTGTAAAAATTGATAAATAAGTATTATAACTTCTAGGCAAGCTTGTTCTTGTTGCTTCTTGGCACCACCATCAGCATCTACCATGCTTCCATAGTTTGAAAACAACAACAGCAGGAAGTAAAAAGTGAGTAAACTCAAGGATTACATAAATAAGAATCAGCAAGCTACTCAGCACCAGCAGTGGTTCTTGCTGTAATCAAACCTCAGCTTCAGTCTCAAGCAAAGCTCGGTCTCAAGCAAAGCTTGTAATCCTGTTGTTTTGTACTCTCAAAAAATTCCCTTCAGGGAGATAAGGGAATTTTTTGAGAGTACATACGGATTACTCGTACGACGCGAGCACCTAGCCGAATAAAGTAAGTATCAAACTCGACCTGCAAGAACTACGAATACATTCCAGGTGGATGCATTCGCCAAGACTGGCTGTAAACGCGGTGTTTTCTACATTACGTAATTTGTAGTGAATTAAAGTACCGTAGGTCAATGTACGAACTCGTACGATATCTTCAATCATTCAATCATCAACAGTCAGGAAAGAATTCGTTCGACGACTTTCTCGGACTTCACGACCTTCACTCTCCTGTACCTGTACTACCGGTACGTATCCGCATGCCGCGATGTCAACAAACAAAATCGAAACGAATTTTACCTGCACAACCCGCAGAAGACCATCTTTGCCCAGGCCAAGCGAAGAAAGATCAACGGACCAGAACATCAAAAGTATTTTTTCAATGATGACAACAATTTGCAAGAGACTCTCAGTCCTCTCCTTACTCCTCGCGATCACATGGTCGACTACGTCGGGATTCTCGACTGTAACGTCAAGTAGCCATCGTGTCGCGACGACGAGTATATCGGTGGCTACAGAGGCTTCGAACGATTTTGGATCCGCTATGCCCGAGGACGTTGATCCCCATGATATTATCGGTGTCAAACCCGAACTTCTTGCGATTGGCATCAATGCCACCGAATTTTTGGAATGGATCGGAACGTGAGTTTGAAAGAATATTCTTGAATTCCAGTACAGCGTTTCGACAATCGAGAATGCCAGAAATCCACCGTAGTTTCGTTCTTGTCTTATTTAATATTTTCTTTGTCCTCTACGTACCGGTATATCGAATTAATACCAATCGGTGTAAAGAAAAGAGGATTTGATGGAAAAATTGCAGGCCGATTTCAAGTCCTACAATTCAGAGCGAGTCGAAGAAGAAGCCGACAAATTTATGATGGATGCTGAAAATGTTAATATGTACATCAAGTATCTGAAGGATAGGAAGGCAAACCCAGCAAAATATGCAAACGAAGCCTTGGAAGCTGAGTTGTCCTTGTAAGTGTGTGCGTTGTAGTTTTTTAATTTCATCTTGTCATTGTCATTCTTGTTCCAGTATCTTATTTTGTACCTTATTTTTCCTCGACTTCGTAAATAGATCCAACCCGAAGACAGCAGCTACATATGCGGCATGGCTGATTGGTGGTGTATCCTTCGGTGTTCTCAGGGAAAAATATATCGATCCAAAGTTGGCATCGGGAGAGTGGAAGGGTATCACACTCGACTTGCCATTCCTGCACAAAGCTGACGCAGCTGCTGAGGCCGCAAGCACTCTTACATCGAAGGCAAATATTATTGTAGAAGGAATCGCAAACATCAACGATTCTGTTGATTTATTGGGTTAATAATCGTCGCTGCACTACTCATGAACCTCGAAGTGAATATTTGCGACTTCGATTTGAGTTTACACCGCTCAGATTGTCGTGGGCGATTTGTTGAATGCATTGATTAGCAATTCTTGAGACGATTGGCATTGATGCTGTCCCTACAATACTTGGCAGAATCCTGGTTCGGTTCACGTCCCATTCTCTCGGGAATAATAACAGCGAGACAGAAGCTATGACGCAGAACAGTATTTTTCTTGAATGGGCTCCTGTAATCATCAGGAACGAAACCCATTATCTTATCTCTCAGAGGTATTTACTAGTGCCGTCGTAGAACGGAATTAGAGCTATTATATCTACATCAAACACTAGAGGTTTGCAAACCTAAACCCCTTTTCGTACGGGAGGTTCCGCCTCTCATGACCTGAATCTACTAAGTACGTAACTACAGCTGTAGGTTCTACTTCGTTTGTTTCAGAAGGACTCGACAGACACTCGTTCAACAATATTTCTACTGGGAATCGGAATTCTGCCTGTTCTTCGCTGGCACCTGTGCAAACAATCACAAAAATGTTAGTAGGGTCATTTTCAGTTAAAACAATTGTTTAAAATATCTATATTAATGGTCTTGTTGATATTACTGCTCGAGAGGTAATTTCTTTGCTACTACTAGAATTGCTACTAGTATTAACTGCTAAGTACTATTAGTACTATTAGTACTGCTGGAAAACCTCTTGCAGCACCAACAGAAACCCCTCTTACCCAGCAGTTTTCAGTGCTCATTACTATAGAATCCTCCTCTCTAGTAAGCACTAGTAGTAATAGAGGTATTCCAGTAGTAAGCACTACCACTAGTAGTACTAGCTTACCTCTCCAGGGATGATCATCATTGACTATTTTACCACGCCAGGCATGCTACCAGGCAATAGTCTGGCAATAAGAATGGTAACTTGCTGGCATTACCAGAACAGTTACCACAATCTGGTAGGATTTATGGTAGCAATCCAGTATTCTTACCAGTTACCAAAATCCGACTAGAATTGCTACCAGATTGCTACCAGATTGCTACCATCAATGCTACCAGATTGCTACCACAAAAGCTACCAAAATATATGCCGCGCTACCAGAATTTTTTTTAATATCCCAGCCCCCTCTTAGTAAGTATGACTCATTCAAACGAATACGGGGGCTAAGAAAATCTAATTATTATAGAAAATATTTATGGTAAAATGGTAGCTACCAGATTTCGACTAGAATTGCTACCATCTTGCTACCATTTTGCTACCAGATGGTAGCAATTTTAGTCGCAAGGAGATGGTAGCAATTCTGGTAGAAATTCTGGTAGTAATAGTTTCTTGGAGGTCCCGGGACTGCAAATATGCTTCATTTTATGTGTTAAGCTGCGCCTGCTGGTTACATTCCAGTAACGGGTCTAGTAGCAAAGGTCCGTGGTAAAATCTTCAATGATGATCGTCCCAGTATTAAAACCGCAAACAAATATTTTTGGACGTTTTTGTGTAAAGGTGGGGGAGAGGGGAAATGGAGATGGGAGAATGAAAAAAATTGAATTATTGTCGAACGAAACGTCTCGGATGCCTGTCGAGTCGTTTTCCCAGATCACGAATAGATAGTGAGTGACCAATATCTTCAATCAATATTATATTATATCTAACTCTAATTTTATCTGTCAATCCTCACAGTTCCAGGTGGCGAATCTCTGAGAAAGAGCCAATCTAATTTTTTGATGGCATCATGATTTTTTTAATTCATTACTGTACTATCGTACTACTGTATTGATTATTTGACGTACGACGAGTTTACTAGTAATCGGACCCTTACTCATTTTCGTTTTCAACCAACACATCCAACATTGCTTTACGGTGGAGTATCGGTACGTCGTGTTCTCTGTGACAATCTTACATCTGAACATCAATTGAGATACGATTGCGATACATTCTGCTTCAAAGTCCCCCAATACCTATCACTCGTCGACACAATTAGAGAGTGCAAGTGATAACCAACAAAATGAAGAATGCGTTCACTTTACAGCTTGCCGTGTCCCTGATAGCAGCGATATTGGTTTTGGAGAAGTCAGATATCAAAGTTGAAGGCTTTTCAATCGGCTCTCGTACAACGGTGCCCCTAAGGCCCTCTTCGTCACTTTTACTGAAGACGCGTCAGCCTTCGTCAGGAAATATCGCAACGCGTCCTCCGTCCCTTTTCAGAGTAAAAGATGCTAAGTCTGAGGATACCAAAGACGTCGTGAACGAGAATGGTATGAACAATTTCCAAGGGATTTGCAAGATGGCAGCAACCAAATGCGCAACTCAATTTGTTCGGTTTTGGTTCAAATCTCGACGATCAGTCCTTACCATTTGCGGTGCATTGATGTTTTGGATTGGTGCTGCCGGAGTTCACACACCGGCTTCGCAGGCATCTTCCGTGTCGTCTTCTATGACGAAGAACATATTCTCATCTTCCCTGGATCAAATGGTGGACAGTTACGTCAAAGGACACATGTTCGACGATGATGCATACGATCCAGTTGAATCAATTTATAAGGAGGCGATGAATGATAGACTCGAAGGGACGCACCCGAGAGATCTGAAGGAAACCACATCCTCTGTTCTTGGTCAAGATGTTATCAAGGCCGAAAGGAAGGGATCCGGAAGTGGAGTCAGTGGTTTATTAATGAAAAGTGTCGGCCTTCTCCAAAAGCAAGGACTTTCCGAAATGCAAGCTATCGGCCTCCTTGCAGGGACCATTGTTTTCGGATTTCCAGCAGCTGTATTAGGCCTCGGTATGCAAATTGGAAATCGAAGCAGGCGTTCGATGAATAAGGTGATGAAAAATCGCTACGGGGAAACGTACTCAGTCGATGCTACAGAGAAGGTAGAAGACGATGTTGATATTCCTGATGACGACGACGACGACGACGACGAGGAATAAAAAATAGGTGCCCAATACTAGAGGAAAAGTTATTTTACCTGTTGATACTATTTTTTTTCACTTAGGACGATAAGGAGCTAACAGCCCGCAGTCTGTTTTAGATTGGCCATCATGTCGTCAATATCCTTCTGTTTATTTTTTGTGTAAAACGTCACTGGTCCGAGATGTTTTCGTTGTGGACTTCTATCCAAGTAGAAGGCTCCGCTTTCTAGTTCGGAACCTTTCTCACCCATTAACCATGCGATGCCCTCTGATCCTTGCCATGTTGTTCGCATGGGTTCCAAATACTTTTTGTTGTCACCATATGCTTGATCAACAGCCGGCGTAAGCGTCCAGCCGGGATGGCAAGAAACAGTTTTTATTCCTGGATACATTTTTGCGTACTCCTCGGCAAGAAGAACTTGCCCCCGTTTCGCATAAGCATATGCTAGATTTCCGCTGTATTCATGCGTCGAACCTTTTGAGTTTGTTGCTGTTGCCCAATCAGGAAATGGAACATTGTACATTCCCCCAGAGCTAACGAAAATAATCCTTGGATCTTCTGCCGCTTTAAATTGAGGAATGAGCAATTGAGAAAGCAAGTACGACCCTCCCAAAAGATGAGAGGCAAATGTAACTTCATTCCCCTCTTTCGTTGTTTGTTTTTCATTTAACAAAACTCCACCGTTACAAACCATGACGTCGACTTTATTTTCTTTTGATTGCAAATCTTGAACTGCCTTACGGATAGAAGCCAATTCACCCTGATGGTTGATATGAAGCGATTTGCGTGACCGTAGCGTTAGTTTACGAGTACTGCCATTGAAGTAAAGGATGATGAAGGATCGCAATTGTAAAAGAAAACCCTCATTTTTAGATTCGCCAATTCTCGGTTCACTTACTAGGTCAACAAGTACAATATCTACCGACTCGCTTGATGTCGCATCGACTATTTCTTTCTTCGCCTTTTCGGCACGTTCTTTCGAACGACAAAACATGTAAAGTTTTGCACCTTTTGCGGCTGCATAGGTGGCCAAATCTTTTCCGATTCCAGAGTTGGCTCCCGTGACAATAACAACCTTGTTCTTGAGATCCACGCCATCGGCACCTTCTTGACCTACTCTTATATAAGGAGTCTTTTGCACCGGCGATTTGTATTTTTCAATGTGCTTCAAGTATCCAGTTCTAGTGGAAGAGAATTGGATGGTTTGGTATCGTGTAAGGTTTGGTATGCGTGAGATCGACGTAAATCTCGATTAGCTCTAATGCAATAAGACTGCGACGAAACGAGGGCTGTACCCTTCGAACAATTTCACTCACTGGGTAAAGTTCTTTCGACCCTGCAAAAAGAACTGAGTCGTTGAAATTGCTCCTCCCATTTTTGTCTTCAATTGTCTTGGTAAATTTGAAACTGAAAGTAAGCTCTTTGATAAAGCTGTTGCCTTGGAACAAATTGCTAGTTGGAAAAATGCCAGGATTGGTATCAAGCACAGGATTCGTAAAACCCGTTTCATGTTTCATTTCATTGCGCCTCCGATCCTTTCTCTGTGCTCCTGTTCTGAAACCGAAACAGGATGACTTTCGATGAAAAATCAACACGATTGGAAGCGTTTGCTGACGATGCAACATTGACGCTACTAGAAACTAGAAACACGATTGGTTTTTATTTGTACGATAACGAGTTACAGGGCCCTCCGGAACCAACACGCGCGCGTCCCCCCTTTGAAATCTAATGTCGGGGGTATGATTTCGTGTTTTTTTTTTCAAATAAAATAACCCACGTTTGTGGGTTATTTTTCACAAAAAATAACCCATGATTCTAAAACGTGGGTTCCTGGGTTCCTGGGTTAATCCACGAATAACCCACAAAATACAAGTAACCCATGAATAACCCACGAATAACCCACAAACCTGCTGGGCCTTTTTCCAAAAATTAAAAACAGTGATTAAATAATGTTAATGACTAAAATACTTAACATCCTTGGTTCTCCATCAACCCAGATGACTGTAAATTCTTGGGTTATTCGTGGGTTCTTTCGTGGGTTATTTGTGGGTTCCTGGGTTATTTTTCAAATTAAAAAAAACACATTTTAGAAACGTGGGTTATTCTTCCCATGAAATAACCCATGATTCTAAAACGTGAGTTATTTTTCACCAAAAATAATCCACATTTTTCTAGGAGGGGAGGAATTCGAAAAGAGGGATGTGAGCATGGGTACCGGAGGGCCCAGTAAACCAGAGTAAAATGGTTGAAGCCTACGGGGGCCTACAGAGCTCCTTGTCATTCTAATTACTAAGATGTTGTACTTCTTCGTAGTACTTCCTCCGTCCCACCAAAATGCAAAATGTACAGTTTGCACCTTTATGGTTTTCCCAACAATTCATATCCACTACACTATTATGAATGAGTAGGATTGTGTAAAATCAGTGCCTGAAACTCATTTTTCACTATTGCAACCAATTATTCCCTAAATACTAGTACTAGTAGTAGTAGTAGTTCCAGCAAGCCATTGTTTCTTGGGCTTCAGCAAATACTGCTCGTCCGACACCAGCGATGCAAGCTGGACCACACATAATTGAAACTACTGGAGGACGACCTTCAGACAGCAGCATTCATGGGAAGCTTGCAGTAACAGCCAATTGTCATCACCAACTCCAAGCTGTGCTTCCATCACACCAGCCTGAAGTGATAAAAACAGATTGTTGTTAAGTGTTTCACACTGACACTCATCATTACTACTACTAGTAAAGGCTTTTGCATCATTGGCAATTAGCTACATGATCAATATATGCAAATGAATTAAAGAATCCAAGATCAAGCACATTCACATGTGAACTATTTGGTGGTTGAGATGTCACTCAAAGAATATTCCAACTTTTATTTGCTGTAGCTGCTGCAAGATCATCCCTGATAGAAGGCTTGTGTGGTTTTGTATTGTCCTTGTGAATGATTATCTCAGGAGGGGGACTACCAGCATCAGCTCCTTGTTTGGGCCATTTCTTATAGATTGCTGGCAATATGATTGAACAGCTCACCAGTGATATTCTGTGACTGTGTCACTAACACTAGTGTTCCTACTCAACAGCAAGGTGATAGAGGTTCTTTTGGTTGGTTCTTTCACAACAAAAGGCCAAATCCCAATCTTACTGTCAAACCAAGAATTTTGGCACGAATCAAACCTTGGCTGTGCTTCAGCACATAGGAACATAACTTTTGTCATATGATTCTTTGACGTTGACATAGGCTTAGGCTCATCTCCATCACGAAGTAGATAAGTGGTGGTGTGTTTTGTGTGTTTCAAGTAGATCCACTTTTCATCAATATGAATCCATTTGAAACAGCAGCTGTCAAACCTACCATTGTTGTCAATGTATTACAGGATCCACTCAACTCTTTATTTTTATCTGCTAGTAAAGGCTTGGTAGTTCCATTGTGATTTCTAATTGCTCAATGCTTGACAATACAGTGCAAAGAGGACCTGGGAATGCCAGTTGCAGCTGTGAGAGTTCTCAGGTCACTATGATCTTCAAGGGAATATCCCTGATTGCTAAACACATCTGTTGGTCTTCTTGCTCTCCTTCCACAATGGTTTCTTTTGATGGAAAGAACATCACCTGCAGGGCAAGTGATTGGATCTTGAAAATGTTCCTCTGTGGTTATTCTGGGTCACTAGGATGATCCAATTATTCCTTGGACACATGCAGCTTTGATGTGGGATGAGTAACTTTGAGCCAGTGTTATAATGAAGAGAAAAAATTGCTGCGCTCATGCTGCAAAAATGTCCCCTGTGTTAATTTCACGTGATATTTTCTTTCTTGTTTTTATGCAACACCCAGATCACTCTTATTTGTCTTATCTTCCTCCTGCTGTTCTTAATTCCTCCTTCTTTGCACCTCAAGTGATCCAGTGGTGGTTACTGGTGGAGGTGTAGTATTCTGTATCCACTAATAGAGGAAGGGTGGGGGAGCATGTCTCCATTGGCTAAGCTAACAGGGAGGGAGTGCATCTCATATCTCTGTTGCCTCCACAAATAGAAGGGGGGGATGAGCATGTCTCAGTTATCTCTACTGATAGAGGGGGAAAGGGGAGCATGTCTTGGTTTCATGTGCTAATAGTAGAGGGGAGTGTGCTATCTTCCATCTCTGTTGTCTCTGTTGTCTCAACTACTAACAGGGGGGAGAATGTCTTACATGGTGCCTCTATCACTAACAAGAGGGGGGGAAACACCTCTTGCATCTCTGTTGCTGTCTTGCATCTGTGTTTCCTCCACTACTTGTATAGCACCTCTGTTGCTTCTACTATTAGCTAACAGAGGGAGAGCACATCTTGTGTCTTTGTTGCCTCAACTCATAGTTGACATCTCAGCAACAATCAACCAGTGGATTCTCTCTTTTGTGCTTTGCTGTTCTTGCTTGAATTGCAGCCTGTTTGTTAATCCCCTCACTTTCTTTTTAAAGCAACAAACAGCACCAGTCTAACTGCAACAGACATGATGATTCCCAGCACCCCACCTGCAAAGCCCAGCAAAAAGACCTTGGCATATAATATACAGATAGCTGCTGTCCACTTTCTTCTTTAAGACATCCCTCTACTAACAAGGAAGAAGCCTCTACAGGGTCACTAAAGGAAGTTGTAGCACACTTCAACAAATCACCCAAGATTGTCAAAAGCCTTTGGAAACAGTACAATAATATCATGATAAAGCTATCAGTCTTGGCTTTCTATAGCTGCTAGTCATATTGTTAGGTGACTGGTAGAGTCCAAATGAAGGTAAAATCTCATTGATATGCCAAAGAAATGGCCCCTGACTGAATAGTTCTCACAAGTAAGTCAAACACTACCACTTAATGCAATCAAAACAGCTGTATTTGCTTTGAATAGATCTGATAAGTAAAAAAAGAAGCATTCCAATTTCCCAAATATTGAGCTCATTTCAGTAGTAGTAAAGGTGCAAACTGCACATTTTCTGTAGTGGGGCAGAGGAAGTACTAGTAGTTCCTACTTGTTGTGGATCAATTGAAATTATGTTACACAGGGCATTCTGAATGCTAGTAGAATGAAGGTTCCCAATGTTAATTCAATGTTCCCAACATTAGAATTAATATTTGGACTGTTAGTATATCACTGTACTGGTAGGCCTATGTAGATCCTAGTCGTATCCCAGTATAATCCCCATTCTTCATTTACTAGTGCACCAGAAGAATCCAAAAACAGTAATTTTGGTCCTGTTTCAGGGATGATACCAAAAAAGAGGAATGAGAAAGGACACTACTATTCAGTGGACTCTTAACTTAAGAACATTCAGAACGTTATATTCAAGCAAAACCGTAGTACTCATTTCCACACAGGCCTATAATGGTGTTAGCATTTGAAATATGAAGTTAACATTTAAAATGTCCTGTACAACATAACTTCAATTGATCTGCAATGTGCAGCAGTAGCTAGTAAATGCATTGATACTACGCGTAAAACATCAATTGAAATTACTTTAAGTAAGGCATTGGGAACGTTAATTTAACATTCCGTATGTTGGTGTTGACGTACGGAATGTTAAGTTAACATTCCGTACGTTAAGGGCCTACGCCTAAGTAGGATTTGTACTATACCCGTTGGTATCACGCCGACAGGCCCTCAGCTGCTCAGCGAGGAGCAAAATTGATCTATTTGGATGGATCCTAGTACAAAGCTGTACACAAATTGCTGTAGAAAATCGTGGATCAAGGGGGAACCCTGTCCATTTTGCTCAAATTAGAAGGGTTTTGATTCCGCGTTCAAAATTGTACTGTGTCCTAGTGTCTTTACCTTTACCTGCCTCCAGCACGCTAGAACTGTTCTTTTCATTCATTCTAAAAAAACTAACTGGTCCAAAGCAACCGACCATGGGAATCGCTCCATTTCAAGCACTTCCACTCACTCTTTCCTACTTTACTTGGTATCAATCGATATCTCTCTTCCACTGTCGATTGAACAAGCCCTGAACTGTAGAAAAGGACCCAGTAGAAGTATTGTTTTGGTGTGTTACAGTCGTACAGTAGCAACTCTTCCGACAAACACCATCCAGCAGTATGAGCAATGATCACGACATCGTGTACTCATCCTCTAGGACACTGATATGGAAGGTCACTGATACGGAGGTTGCTGATACGGCGTCCGCTGATATGGAGGCTCACTGATACGGTGTCCGCTGATACGGTGTCCGCTGATA